AGTATCCGAGATAAATTTTGCACCTCCACAATCCTAAGTTGTACATAATTAAAAACTATTGATTCCTTTCATGTAATTACATTCATGCAAACATTATTTTATTTCCTTACTTTCTTAATTTAAAGGCTTCCTTCTTTTATTTCATTAGTTTATTCACGGGTTCTTGGGTTCATTAAAAACCAGTTTTTCCATGTTTGCAAGACTCAAAGACGTTTATTGCTAAACCAATTTAGACGAGGTACACATTTAGAAACACCAACTTTACTCGGCCAACAATGCACTTTTTGCTTAGGTATCATCATCCCACATCATGTTTCTGAATCATCTCAATAAGACTTTTGCGAACTCTCAAGAAGGCGAACTTGCTCCTAGTCTTTCGTTTTTTGTGGTGTCGTATTTGTCTACTTCACTTTCACTTTTAATTTTTTACAGTTGTTGTCTCCTTCCGCCTTTTTCACCACTTCCATGTGCATCTCGGTCTCGTTGTTTATCTAATTGTCATATTGTTGTAAAGCCTGCTAACGTTCTTTGAAGACCCATCTAGCAGACTCTAAAACCCTTGCCCCTTACTATTGTACTTCAACCTTTTATTTTTACACAGCCTGAATTTTTGTGTAGTGCAAGGAGTCATTGTGGACCACCCTGAACTTCTGAGTAGTGCAAGAAGTCGTAGTGGACTACCTCATCTTTGAAAAAAATTCTCAATGTATATTTCTCTCCATCTTCAACCTTGTCCATCCCTCTCTCTCGACATGAGTCACTGGGGCTTAGCCTATCTCATTAGTCCCCTCGTTCGGTTGTCTCAATTCCATTTTCCTGCTACAAACGATTTGGATCATAGTCGATGCTTTCTAACTTACCCGTCAACGAAGTGTTACGTTGAAAGTCAATTTTTCGCTGCACTCGTTTTGCGTGGGAGCCTCTATGGAAAAGGGTGATACGACCTGTAGAATTTTGTTCAGCAGACGCGTTTTTGAAACTAAAGAGTTAATTGTTTGAGTGGTTTGCCTTTCCAGCAACTATTTTTCATACAGCTTCGCTCCCGAATCATTTTTGTGTTTTTTTTCTTTGCTTTTCCAAACGGCATTCTCCCAAATTGCTACTGCTTGATCCTTCAGTGTCGTAATCTCTTTCATGCTCCCCACCGTACCATTTGATCTTCCTTTCAGGGCGTAAACATAAGTAAGATCCATCAGTCCACCTTGGAGCCCTCTAGTCATTCACATATCTTAGTCTTACTTCCTTTCCATAGCCTGATTGCTTTTGCTTTTGTTACTTGATTTCCCTCTCTCCTTGGTTATCGTGTTGGTCAAAAGTTATAGTCAGGTTGTACATGAGGAAAAAGTAAGAAAAGGCGTGTCATGTGTGGCTCTATCTTTCATCATCTGCTGAGTGCCATTCATTAAACTTCTTCCCTTCGAGTTCTAAATGGTGATGAATGATATAGTCTGTGTACCATCGCGTTCACATTCGGTGACTGAACACAAACAAGCTACAAAACCCTTTGAACGCAAACACAAAAATATTATTAAAAACTGAATAAAAAGTAATAATATATTATCAACAAAATTATAAACAAGCTCGACTTAAAAATAAAATACCCAAAAGATCAAAACTCTGGTTATGTAAAATGATAATACAAACATCTTTTACCTGGGTGGTATGTTGAAATTCGTAACCAAATTTGAGTTAAAAATATAAAAAAGTTAAAAAAAACCTAAAAACAATAAAAATAAAAATGTTCAACAGAACACGTTCGGGAAGCGTTCGACCGAACACCCAAATCCAATCAGCTGTTTGGAAAAGCCCTGAACATGTTCGGTGTGCTACACAAGATATAACCATGGTAAAAATCAGCAATGTTTCTTTTTTCGCTGTTTTTCGATGTCCATACGCTCTGGAAGACAGATCAACAGCATCTATCCCGCACCTCACCACCTTGCAGCCAACTTCACAATTGTGGGTTCAAGACTTCGCTCTTCAACACGACTTCATCCCGCATAATAGGCGTGAACTTATTTACGATGGGTAAGCTCGGGCAAGTCTACCACATGCAATTGAACATAACAAGGACCGTAGTATCTATGTACAAGTTGCGTGTTGTGCCCTGAAATTTTGTCTTAACATAATCAAGTTTGGGACACAACAATGATGGTCTCGAACGATCGGTTCCTTTCATGGTCAGATCTGCAAACGAGATTTTGAAACCCAAATATCGTCCTCCTCTTCATTATGGCACATACAAGTAAAAGTGAACACACCTGAGAGCATGAGAGGATCACTGTGTAGTTATTTCCTTCCTCTGTTCTTAAGAGTATCAATCAATGGTTGGCTTAGGAGACAAGAGTCCGAATTGTGTGGTTAGGTACAAGATAGTTAGTCCTCCTCTTCCGAGGGGTTGGGTGACTATGTCCACCGTTTTGCTAGATAACCATCCAGGCAACATGCATCACATGCGAGGCCCATGTTGCCTCGATGGATACCCAGCAAAATGACACCCAATACTTCTAGAAAGTTGCGGGCGCATGCACGCCACAACTTTGTTTTGTTAGTTGGGAGACGTAGTGGTGGCTTAAACCACCAGTCCTCCCTTCGTTGACAAAGTGGCTTTCTAGAACCGTCAGAGGCTGGTAGCGCGGAAGAAGCAAAGGTCGGCGGCAATTCAAGCAGGAGGTTGGCGGTAGAAAAAAAAGAAAAAAAGAGTTCGTGCTTGGACGAATACACCAAAGAATCTGAAATTATAAGATCCCGTAAATGTAGACATGGTCTTTCCATGAAAAATAAATAAAAAAATATTTTTTTTCCAAAGAATTTTAGACAGTGAAATACTCCCCGTGCTGATTCGGTGCATTTTCCACTTCTCAACTTTGCCACATGTGGGCCAACGGAAAAGCAATCCATTTTCAGCAACTTATCACATTCAAAATAATGGTAAGAAAATCTGAAATTTCGCAAACCGGTAGATTTGGTCATTATCTTCCATGGTAAGAAAAAAAATATAAACATTCGATCATTCATGTCAATTCGGCACAAATTCCATTTTTGCTACTAGCACTTCTCCACATTATGCTACCCGTAGCTCTCATGTGCTCGTGCTACCAGTCCCCTTAACTTTTTGCGGCAGTGGGAGTGGTGGTTTAAGAGCGGATGCATTCTTGGAAGGCACCCATAGCCAAATTATAGCAAAAGGCGTGCAAGCAATGATAAATGAATAAAATTATGGATTATTGCAACCCTGGCTCACATTGAAATATGCTTGTTATCCCATGCTACAAACTTTCCAGGGGCAGGATGATAATTGCCCGTGGTCTTAGATTGACAGCCCGACGGGAGGCCATCAAGAGATTGACAGCCCGACGTAAGGAGCTCAAGGGGTCTCACTCCTCGTTGATTAAGACCCACTTCATTGCCACATCCGAGAGCTGGCAAAACTTCTCAATCATCGACTTAATTTTCACCAGATTGGTGGGAGACGCGTCCATCAAGCGTTTTGGCACCCACCCGGTGACCTGCGCTCTTATTCTGTCGTCAATTTCAACGTGATTCGGTTTGGAGTTTTGATACAGGTTGACTATATGTGACCAAGTACGTGTGCTCCGACTGAGAGTGCGTGTGCTCTTGAGTGTGTTCCTTGGTGACCGTACAGACTTGCTGCAGATTCTGCACCGGCATCACTATCATACTTCACAAGTATATATATATATATATCGTCAAATAGAACTGCCCGGTAAACCGTAGGCAGAGAGGGAGAAGAGGACAACAAACGAGGGGCTGTGACAAACTGTTTCGTCGGAGTTTCACCGACTCATCAGGAGGCTGAATATATATATCGTCACAAATATATATATATAATACAATAAAATTAAATATATAATATTATATATATAATCTAGGCTACCAGAGGGGCCCGGGGTCACTTGCCCGGCCGGGCCAAAATAATAATAATAAAAAAAAACAAAAAAAAAATGATTTTTTTTTTTTCAAATTTGGTGAAGAATTTCGATGTGACCCTGAGGCAAAAGTTGTTCAGTTTATTTTCTGCATAACATAGTTTTTTTTCAGAATTTTTGGWTTTTTTTTTTTTTTTTTTTTTTTTCTTGCTGGGACGTTAACTGATCCTTGCACGGGCTGGCCACCCGGGACCCAGGCAGCCCGGCTGGTAGCCTAGTAATATAAATATATATATATATATATTTACCAGCACGTGGGATAATTTTTAACCCCTTTTTAACCCCTGAAATGAGAGGGCTGGAAAGGGTTGAAAACGGTTACACCACCAGTACTTGGCCCAGCCATCGACAGTGGAAAACAAAATAGAGTAGAAACGTTTCTAGTCGGATGAATTTGGGTGCTCCTATAGTGGGCCGTACGTTTCCTAAAATCGTGGCTTGTTAACGGGCAGGACTTTGGGAAGTACTGGTGGTTTAAGAATGATGAACGGCATTCCAAACGCCTTTTTCTTTTCGAATTATTCATAAGCAATACCTGGATGACATTGCTCCACATCCGAAACAACACCTTTGCCCTGGTTTGACCGTACCAGGACAACATCATGGCCAGGTACATGCTCCAAGCCACGAGGGCACCTGTACAATACTCCGAAGAACAATACCACAGAAGTATTACTGTTTTCTTGAGGAAAAGTTTCCCACAATGTCACCAAAGAAAAAGAGTGGCCCGCACGACCGGGGGGGAAGGGGGGGAGATAGCAAAATAGCTTAGAAGAGTATGCTTTTCAGGCAAAAAGGAAGAGAGGGGTGGACTGCAAAAGGCAAAAAGGAAGAGAGGGCTGGACTGCAAAAGAACAGAATGGAACATCCAGAGCCGTAAAACTTTACAGGGAAGAGAGCAGGGGGGGGGGGGGGGGGGGGACGGGATAACGAAATAGCTTAGAAGAGCGCATGCTTTTCAGGCAAGAGGAAGAGAGGGCAGGACTGCAAATGAACGTCGAACAGAAGGGGACAAATCTGAAAGTCGTAAAACTTTACAAGAAGGGTTCTCTTGAAAATTGCTGAACAAATTCACTAGAAGAAAAAACTCCTAGAGTTCAAATCTGAAAGAGTCAATAAAAAAACAGCAGGAGTTCGTGTCCCCCATGAAGACAGAAAATCCATCAAGCACACAGACAAGGAAAGTGTAGAGAAACAAATTCACCGAATGGGGGCAGAGTTTCGCCGAAGCCAAAGCATGGAGACAGTATAGACACTGCCTACAACTTGGCTATTGCTGGCTATAGTAGAGACCAACCCTAGCGCCATGTACGTGCCGTTCTCTCCTCGGCACCCCACTCAACCATTTTCAAATTCGGATTTTGCCCCTCTCTGTTAAACCACCACCACCGGAACAGATAAATGTCTCCTGTGACGTAAACAGAGCCCCAAAACTAAGCCTCAAATTCGGAGTTTGCCCTGCTCATCCATTTTCAAATTCGGATTTTGCCCCTCTCCCGAGTCAGCAGCCACAAACTTGCTGTCTGCTATATCCCTGCAACTAACCTGTCAGAGCTCATAGTGAGGCACCATGCAGAGTCGTTGCCAACTCTGTCCGCATCTGACGTGCCAGAATCACACAACTTGAAAAACTCCTGTCTTCAATACTTCTTACCGTACCATGCAGCTCCACAGGGCCGTTGGATCCGGGAGCATGACGGAAATCAGCATGTCCAAGTCCAGACTATGTCATACTACACTATCAAAACTGCATTCTATGCAGACTGCAGACTGTCAGAGTGCAGACAAAGCCAGGCTGCAAACTGTCAGCAGAGTGCAGACTACGTCAACCTGCGGACTGTCAAAATGCAAAGTCGGAGTGCAGTCCGTCAGAGTCCAGACTACGTCCAAGCTACAGAACAAGCAGAATAAATCAGCAAGACTTCGTCAGACTGCAGACTGTCAGGAGCAGAATATGTCCGACTGCCTACTATGCCAGACTGCAGACTACGTCAGACTGCAGACTGTCAGATGCAGAATATGTCCGACTGCCGACTATGCCAGACTGCACACTATGTCAGACTGCAGACTGTCAAAAGAGCAGACATGCCCAGACAGCGGACTGTCGGAGTGCAGACTATGTCGGCCTGCAGACTGTCAAAATGCCCAGACAGCGGACGGTCAAAGTGCAGTCTGTAAGGATCCAGACAACATCCGAGCCACGGAACAAGCAGAATCCCAGGACATACCAAGTGCAGACTATATCGGACTGGAGCCTCTCAAAGTGCAGGCTATGTCAGACTGCAGACTGTCAAAAGTGCAGACTATGCCAGAGGCCCAAACTGCAGACTATCAGAGTGCAGTCTGTCAACGTCCAGACTCTGTCAGACTGCAGACAATGTCAGAGTGCAGTCTGTCAAAGTCTAGACTATGTACGAAGTACAAAACCAGCAGAATCACAAGGTGCGTGTGAAATCATCATGTCCGAGGGCAGACTATGGCAGACTGCACTGTCAAACTGCAGACTATGTTAGGCTGCAGACTGTCAAACCGCAGACTATGTCAGCCTGCAGACCCATCAAAGTGCAGACTAGGTCGGACTGCCGACTCTCAACGTTCCCGACTATGTCACAGCGCAGTCTTTCACAGTCTAGTCACAGCGCAGTCTTTCACAGTCTAGACTATGTCACAGTGAAGTCTGTCACAGTCTAGACTGTGTCACAGTGCAGTCTGTCACAGTCTAGACTATGTCACAGTGCAGTCTGTCACAGTCTAGACTATGTCACAGTGCAGTCTGTCACAGTCTAGACTNACTATGTCACAGTGCAGTCTGTCACAGTCTAGACTATGTCACAGTGCAGTCTGTCACAGTATAGACTATGTCACAGTGCAGTCTGTCACAGTATAGACTATGTCACAGTGCAGTCTGTCACAGTCTATACTATGTCACAGTGCAGTCTGTCACAGTCTAGGCTATGTCACAGTGCAGTCTGTCAGAGTCTAGACTACGTCCGAGTGACAGCAGAAGCAGACTCCCAGTATGTGTGAAATCAGCATGTCCGAGTGCAGTCCATCGGAGTGCAGACTATGCCAGACTGCAGACTGTCAAAGTGCAGTCTGCGTCAGAGTGCAGTTTGTCCGAGCTGAGACTATGTTCAAAGTACAGAACGGGCAGAATCCGATCATCCCCAAACTGCAGAATCTGTCAGAATCCCTAGTCCCTTGAGAGAAGAGATAATGTGGGGATCAAGTCTGTCAGAATCTCCACTGCTGAAAACCCTGACCTGCCAGAGCATCAGAATCCATTCAGCGCCGAACTGCAGAATCTGTCAGAATCCATAGTCCCCTGACAACAGAGATAATGTCCGGATCAAGTCTGTCAAATTCTCCACTGCTGGAGACCCTGACCTTACAGGACCTCAGCAGATGACGGCTCAGGAGTCACTACCCACTAAACGCTGATATGCCAGAAATTATGTTCTCTAAGGCCTCTGTCAAATGCTGACATGTTAATCGGAGGAGTACGTCAACAGCCGAACACTGTTAATCGGAGTCTGCTTAACACTGTTCTGTCAGAGTATAGCACGACGGAAACGTCACCCTCAGCGAGACCCTTGCCTGTCAAGCCTCGGAACGGAACCGAACAGAACCGAACCGAACCGCGAGTCATGAACTGTGACATGGCAGACATTCCGGCGCACAAGGATATCGGGACCTCTACTGATCTACAGTACTCTCCATTGATAGAAATCGGAGCATTTGAACTTTGAAGGCAGGGCATGTCAACAGCTCCAAGTCTGCCATACACTGTCCTTAAAGAGCGCACCGCGTCAGAGACTTCAGCCTGAGCAAGAACCTCGCCTGTCACGCCTCAGAACCGAAACGAGTCAGGAGCGGTAATATGGAAGACGTTCCGACCCATAAGGACATCGGAAGCTTGGCTGATCTCCAAGGAAAAAGTATGCGTCGGAAGTTCGCAACATCAGACCAGGGCAGAATCCCGCCTAGGGCGATTGTCAGGGGACTCCGACTTGTCGAGGAACCCGTCAGACAGCCCCGTCAGACAGACTTCTGCGGCATTGAACTAGAGGCAGCTCTATTTGTCAGAAATCAAATGGTAGTAGTCTAGTAAATAAAAAACAACTCAAATTCCGGAACGTCAGATTTTTTTTCAAGAATTGACTAGAAACGTTTTTCGAGGCTATTGTTTTACAAAATTTTATCACGTACTGATAGAGTCTAAAACTCTGACACGTCAGAAGCTTCGATGCACGTTGCAGACTCTGAAAACGTCAGTAATCAGAGAGTCTGAGACTATGACCTGCAGGGACTAAGAAGAGTAAAAATATCACAGAGTATGCCCTGCGGCCACTATACATGTTCCGTCAATCTCCAAGCGGGGCAATTCAAGCTCCTTCCAATAGCTCTTAGCGCCCGCCATTAGCGGTAGAAAATTGACGTGCCAAATACTAGAGGTGCCGTCATCGACCTGACCTGCCACAGGTTATTTCTATCATCCGATCACAATAGAATATGAACTCAGGTTTGTATACCCAGAGTTCAACATGTTCAGCCTGTCAGGTATTCCAGAACCGATTCCATCAGAAACTATGTCCGCCAGGGAGTCGGATCGTCCCTGTGGCGGTCGATCGCTCTGTTCAAAAAGGGGTCCAGTCCCCACAGACATATCAGAAACTTACATGATCAGACTCTCTCGTGTGGAAAAAGCTCCATCCGTCGGAAGCGCGAGGTGTTAGAAACGCCGACCTGTCGAAAACATCGATTGACACAGATGTCAGAGAGCGGCAGAGATCAGAGTCGGTGGGACCACGACAAGCAATGTCGATCTTCTGACTGAGGCTGAGGACCGTCGACGAAATACAGTGCTGCATCAGAAGGCTAGAAACTGGAGGAAATCACTCGTTCGGTTGGAGAAACAGCATGCGTAAGAAGAAGGAATGTGTCAGAAACCCTGACCTGTCAGACCTTCAGAGTGTGAGAGAACTGTGTCAGTGGACCACCACATGCTGATAAGTCAAGCTTCGGTCAGTCAACGGTCAATGTGAAGCCCAGCCTGCCTGGAGAAAATGATCTCAGCCAACCACAGAAGAACCAAGGTCAGGCTTGCGCAAGCCTCCAAGGGACAAAACTGAAATTCAATAAACAAAGTGGTAACAAGCATCAAAATAAAAACCCATGACAACGATCCAATGGGAAAGAATGAAAATGAATTGAATGCTCACCAGGCCTTAACATGTTTTGCTTGCATGCTTGGCGGACCCTAACAGATCTGTGTGGCTGCAGACTCTCTCTCTCTCACTCTCTCTCTCTCTCTCTCTCTCTCTCTCTCTCTCTCTCTCTCTCTCTC